GAAAAAGAGTGTGAGAGCAAAAGTGCTGGCTGGACCAAGGCAGCAGCAGGCTGAAAAGGAGCGGTGGTTGAGCCGTGGGCGACCGTCTTGAGTCTCTCTGGGGACCGGACGGGCAGGCAGGCAGGCAGAAGAAGAAAAACGAAAGACAAGCCGTGTAAAGGAGCGGACGGCGTGAAGAAGAAGAACAACAACAGCAGCAACAACAACAGCAACAAGAAGAACAACAAGAAGAAGAAGAAGAGGAAGAGGAAGAAGGAGAGAAGCGTCGAAGTCGAGAGTCGCAGGGAGGCGTTTTTGGTGAGCGTCGGCGGGAGAAAAGGCAGCAGAAGCGAAAAAAAAAAGGTTGGAGCGTTTCAGCCGGCGCGACAAAAAGATACCTCGGCTCGCATAGCAGTTTGTAGGGCGGACGAGGTAGCGCTAAGTAGACATCACGTGAGATGATGAGTAAGCAGAGGAAGGAAGAAAGGAAGAAAAGAAGAAAAGAAGGACGACGATGTGGACGACAAGGACGAGAGAGCAAGACAGCGAAGACAGACAGACGGGGATGGTGGTCGAGAGGGCCGCCGCAGGACTCGGCTCGAGGATGGGGTGGCTGTCTCTGGAACCTGCCCCCCCCTCTCCCCCCCTAAACAGAGGACAGCGAGCAAAGTGCAGAGAGCAGAGTGCAGACCCGGTCACCCCGTCAGGCCAGCAGAGGACGGGCACCAGGACACCAAACAGACGAGAAACAAGAGGGCCAGAGGCAAGAGGCAGCCAGACGAGTGACACTCGACCAGAGTTGGCCTGCTCGGGAAATGCCAGGCATGGGGAGGGGTCTGTTTCAGACTCTGCTCCTGACCCGTCGCCCTTGTCCTCTTCCCTCCAGCGGCGCCAGGATGTCCCCAGTGACACTGCATAAAGGCGCATCCCAGGCACCATCGCCAGTGTTGTCTCCAGCCAGTCATCGTTGGCCAGGCACCAGGCACCAGGCACCAGGCACCAGGTATCCCCCCCCCCCCCCATCCCCCACCATGCCAGAGCCAACAGAACACTCAAAGGACAAGAGCAGCCGCAGCCCCGTCACTGTGTGTTGCGTCGAGTTCAGGTCGGGGACGTTTGACCTGCTGGTTTAGTAGACGCTTGGTACGGGGGCGCTTCGTCTACGGAACCACACCACCCAGTGCTTGGTTGATACCTGATACCTGATACCTGATACCGGATAGCTACTTGATACCACCGAAGGGGGCTTTTAACCTACTCCTTCTTCCTCCACAACTACTGCTTATACTTTTTAGGGCACAAAAAACAAAAGAAAGAAAGAGAGAAACGCGCGGGCGGAAAGCCTCGAAAAGCTAAGCTGTAGGCGAGGTCATCGTGATCTCATCCGATCTCATCTCGTCTCGTCTCCAGCTCGACTCCTCTCTATCTAACATGCTTACCTAGTAGTAAGTTACCCCGATCAGCCAGCTAGCCAAGGTCACGTACCTGGGCTAGTGCAAGGGGGAGCAGCCTTCTGGTGCTAGCGCCAGAGATCCGCCGCTGCTTAACCGGACGTACATATAAGACATCTAATTTAATTATAGCCCTGAGCTCGCTCTTATGGAGGTCATCCGGAGTCAGGTTCTGGATTTCCGGCCCTGCAGCGCGGGTGTCGGCTTGTTTCTGCACGAACGCACCTGATCAGTCAGTCCATCGGCATCCCTGTGCTGGGCGAGTTCGCCTCAACTCTCACCTGCACAAGAGTACGAAGTACTTAACAGCAAGTACCTACCTACTGACGTGGCGGAGAGGCCACTGGCATGGATGGAGGAAGAACACCTATTCCTTCATGAAGGAATATGCGGGCTACCATGAAAGGAGGCGGGCTCATGCTAGTAGTCTATATAACTCAAGCCTTGTACTTATGTGCTGGAAGCAAGGTATTATACACCAAATACTACTCCGTATGGAGCCATCAAAAAGAACATCGCACACATCAGAAGGACAACAGGAACACGGACAAGTAGAAGAATGGCGAAAAAAAAAAAAAAAGTACAAGGACAGACGAACGGAAGCACAGCTGAAGGGTCATGGATGGATACTATCCAGCCCCTGCTATATCTAACCAGGTATCAACCAAGGTAGCACTGACAAACCTTAAAATGCAGCGCCCAACGCCGAAACATTCCCTAAAAGACGCCGCCCCCCCCCAGTACCCTACCCAAGAAACAAGATTGACATTGTAAACATCGCGTGTCGAATTGTTTTGAATGTGAAAGGGAAACAACCCAAAGAAAAGAAAAGAAGAGGAAAATTCTGTGTGGTCACTTGATGTCCTGCCTGGACGCGGCATATCGAGCCAAAAGCCCGTTTTGAGAAGAGCTCCTGCGTGTTCAAAAGGATCGTCAAGCCTTGGCCCATGACACCCTCTTCTGTTCCCTCATGGCGAATGATGCTGCTATGGCTGTTGATGCTCCTCCTTGGTCCTCCGTTCAATGAGATCCTGGAGCTGTAGCTCATGCTCGTGATCCTCTTCGCTGGCACCGTCGTCATCGTTGCCCCCATACTTTCCGGGCCTTTCCCATCCCTGCGCCAGCTCCGAAGCAGCCGCCTCTTCAAAACGCCTCTTAACATCTCCATCTTTCTCATACCCCTGGAACAGATCCACGTCCGTAGGCCACAGCGTCTTGCGCACTGTGACCTTGGTAATCTCGAACAAGATTACGATGGCCACAATCACAATCAATGTTGTCCACCAGAGAGCATTTTTCCCAGTGAAGTGGATAAGGTTATCCCGCACGTTATAGATGGCGTGGTACTTGTACTGTTTTGACAAGATGATGTTCCAGAGCCACCAGATGCCTATCGATCCCACCAGTGGGATCAACGTTAGCACTGTGTGGTTGTGGATTTCAAGAAATTGCAGCTTGACATTGATGATGATCACACAGGCCGAATAAGTAAGCAGGCCCATGGCGTAGATGCCGTTGTCTACCGTGAAGATAGCATCGCCAAATAGTCGAATCATCACAAAGTACACCATCATTGACTCGCATGCCGCCACCGTCGCCCAGCCGAGATAGACAGGGATGTTGAAGCCTTCGTTGCGCTGGCCCTTGGTGTACAGCTCCGGCACTGCTAACAGTGTGCTCGCGGCAAGATCCTTTTCAAACACGCCCAGGAATATCACCGCCAACGAAGTAAACAGCGTATTGAACATGCTCAGACTCCAGGGTTCATACAAACTGGTACCGGTGAACCCATTAGAGCGCTGGAACATTGTCTGAGTTAGGTAGAACAGCGTCTCCTTCCAGAAGGTGCCTAGAGTATACTTGCACACCCGCACGTAGTTCCATCGTCCATGGACGAGCAGCAGCTTCAGCAGGAACCGGAACTGCGCAATAGAGTAATCAGATATTCTGGCTGCCTGCAGTCCCTCCTTGCCTGTTATGCCGATTCCAACATGTGCTTCCTGAATCATTGCAATGTCGTTCGCTCCATCACCGATCGCAAGGGTGATGGCACCGTTGACCCGTTTGCGAATCGACCGGACAAGGAATGCTTTTTGCTTGGGGCTCGCACGGCAGCATATCACTGAGTCTGCACGGATCGCCAGCTCGAAGAAGAGTTCCCGGAGTCCATCATCCCCCTCAATCACCGATAGCGTTTGGCCATCTACCACGATGACAGAATGCACCACCCCGCCGGCGCGGAGACTTGAGACTGTAGATTCTATCGTCTGCTTCACAGTCCCTGTCTCATAGTCCAGGATGAAGACTGCCGAGTAATCCTTGACCAGTCGGCACGAGTGACCGATATTAATTGCCGTTTCGCGCTTATCTCCCGTCAACATCCAAAGTTTGATATTTGCCCGTCGCAATTTATCAATTGCCTCCGGAACGCCCTTCTGAAGCTTGTCTTCGATCGCTGTGGCACCGATTAACTCTAGCTGTGTCTCAAGATGTGCACCCGCCTCGTCTATTTTCTCTTGCCGATTAACAAGGCTGACCGTTGCTTCCTTGTACACCTGTTTCCACTCCTTATACTCCGATTCCCCAATAAATCGGTAGGCATACAGCAGGGTACGCAACCCTTCCGTCGCGAAATCGCTTATATGCTGGAAACAGCGTTCAAATACTAGTGCTTCATTAGTCACCAGGGATTCATCGACCAGGTCTTCCTCCACCATTCCATCATCGATTTGGAACGAAACCCGGGGACTTCCTCCATTGCCAAGTTGGACAGACGGCCGCGGGTTGTAGTTTTGCATCTCATGCTCGTCATCCTTGATATCTAAGCCACCGTCCGTCTCGCGGTCACGTAGCCATACATCAATACTCTGGCGGATAGACGGGCCCGGTTTGCCAGAAACGCTTGATCGCCGGCCTACAAAGCTGGGTCGACGAATGCTAAGGCTCTTTTTGCCGCCACGAGACATATGCTCACTGTTCCGGCGAATAATTTCCATGCTTTCCATTGCCTTGCGTTCATTGGAGCGATGCTCGATTTGATGTATCTTTTCAATGGCCAGGGAAGACTGCTTCAGGAGTTTGGTGATAGTCGAATCTGCACCTTTAGTAAAGACACAAATCCTGCCATCTGGTAGGCGCACAACGACTGACATGCGCTTCCGTGAGCTGGTGAATTCAATGATATCCAATACTTCGTATGTCTCTTCGATCGTGTCATTACTCTTGTTATTGCCTTCCGACCGCCGAATTGTGATGCTGTTTGGCTGTCTGTCACAGACTAGATATCCCAATTCCTTTGCAGCAGTAACAAGGGCAACCTCATCCGGCGATGCAGCCTGGAATGTATACTCGCCATCTTGTCCGCACTCCGGTAGACAAGTGTGGCACAGGGCCATGGCAATGATGAAAAATCTCACCCTCACTGCGAATAGCGTGTGAGGCTTTTGCTTGACGTATTGCAGCATTTCTGTAGTCTTACCGCCACTGTAAAAACGGGACTTTTTGCAGGGTTTCCATGTCCCAGATTCACGGGCAGTCGCTTGAGATACCCCAGACCGTCTAGATACCGCCGATGGTCGACCTTGGCTTGAATCACCAAATGACTTGGCACGAGTAGGTTTCTTGCCCTTGCTTTGCCTGCGGAGGAGTATTTGCTTTGTAGTCTCGTTAGCAGCTTCTTGGACTAGATCAGGGTCATGAAGCCAGGCAGTTCCGGCAACGCTCATGCTGCGGAATCGCATCGAATTGTCGGTCAGGGTGCCGGTTTTGTCCGAAAATACATAACTGGGCCAGTTAGCACGTCCATACTACAAGAAACGAGGTAAAATAAGAAAAGGATAGATATACCTGATCTGCCCAAGTTCCTCATTGATAGCCGAAGTCCTGGCCTCCATTGGAGTGTTTGATGTCTTGTCATACATGTCGACATCATTTAGTAGGAACATCTGGGCGACTTTGACGATTTCCAAAGTCACATACAGCGAGATTGGAATCATTGTGTTCAGCATGATCAAAAAAGAGGAAAATATCGGGCCGAAAGAAACATTTGCTTGCTCAAGATACCAAGACATGCGTTCCGTGCTGCGTGACCAGTATTTATATGCAATTGTGCATGCACCAGCAAGAGAAAGAACCAGAATGACAATAAGTACCACGACTCTGTTGACAACGCCCTGAATTGCCGGGGCCTTGATGCGAGGGTTCTTGGTAGCATTCATACGAATTTTGCACTCTTCTCCAGTATATATTACCATTCCGATTGCTTCATGGGTATTTCGGAGGATGCTGCCGCGGTAAACTACCTCGTTGTTTGTCAAGGGTGCGGTTTCATCTCCGACGGTGACATTACCCTCAAACTTGTAGAGGTCCATGTTTGGATCCTCCAGAACAAAGTGTGTTGATCTGTCATTGATGATATCATCAGTTGAGTTGAACGTTTTTGCAACAAGAGGACATGGCTTTTTGCTCTTGAGATTTGTCTCGCCATCCAATGCCATGGTTTCGATATATGCTATCCCGTTGGGATCATCGGCGTGTAGCAGGACGATATCCGCTGGCACAGCCTGGTCGCGTTCAAGTTTTATGATGTCACCAACTTTTATGTCGACCCATTTGACATTCGTCCACGGTTGCGGGTGATCTGTAGCCTTTGAGCTCATATCGCCAGCTGTCATTGGTAATGATTCATACGATCCATCTTGCACCTCCTGAGACGGACGCAGTACAGATGTAATTCGATTATTCTCCTCCTTGTCAAGCCTGTATCGACGGACGTCATCGTATCCTTCTTTGCTAATGGAGATCCCCACAAAGATAAGTAAGGGCGCTAAAGTGGTGAAAGTACCGGTGGTACTCAACCCGGGTATCATTTGCAGAATGGAAACACATAGAAAGTAAAAGTTTGCGAGTTTTGAGAACTGCGCGATTAACTGACGAGGGAGAAAACTCCACAGGCTGTATCTGCTCGAGCGAATTGTATTTGATACATAATGCTTGCCGGTTCGCTCATCGATCCGGGGTTTACTGTTATAGGCATCAAGGTCAACATATCGGCCGTCAGCACTCGGAGGGATGTCCTTGATACGCAGGACGTGTGTTTTGAATAGGGAGAGTAGAAGTGCGAGCCAGCTGTTTATCGTATGGGTAATGGAAAACGTCTGTCGTGGCTTTGCTGTCAGGAAGGAGGTCGTAGATTTCAGAAAGTCTGAATGTTGTGGTAGAAAGGAATAGTCTTCCTTTTCCGTAGCGACCTTCTGAGATGTAACAGTGTCAATGGTCTTTTTGTCGGTCTGTCCACTAGTAGAAGCTTCATTTCGTTCTAGGTCTGGCTCTTCCGGCTGTTGTTGCGTTACGAGATTCCGGTTAAAGAGGGCTCGACGAAGGGAGTAGCCTCGGTTGCGCCCAGTAGGAAGCACCCCTGGTGAAGCCGAAACGGGCGTCGTCGCTGGAGAGGTCTCATCAGAGTCTGACTCTCTCGAAATCGATCCCGTTTGTTCGGCGACGCGGTCGATATCAGACGAAAACCGTACTCGGTTCAGGGAGTGTCTTCGCTGGTCAACATCATGTATATTTTGAGGGCTCTCCTGCTCCTGCTGCTGCTGTCCACTGGTAGGCTGCAGAGCTATACTTTCATATGCCACTGTATTCTGATTTCCCCGCCCGCTTGACTCTTGCCCTTCGCCCATATTCGACTATCGTAGCGGAGACCGTCCTGTATGACGTATAAAGGGACGTGGAAGCTGTTCTCGACCCAAGGCTGCTGCTCCACCCCCTATCCCCAGGCTTATGTATATATGGGCGCTCCGTCTTCAGCAAGACCTGTATGAGTTAAAGAGGATGAATGGCCACGCCCTTCGTTGCGTATGTCTTATGAAGAACGGGCAGATTTTTACGCAATCCGACGCCCGATTTCTATATCGACAACCTTGGAACTCGCTATTCGGGGAAAACGATCGAAGAGGTCCAGAAGTAGAAGCGAGCCAGCGCTTCCCAGACAGGTCAGACAGGTCAAGAAGAGAAGAAGAAAAGACAGATTGTCATCCACGACGAAGGGTGTCAAGGGCGTGAGTGAGAAATAAAAAATTATAAAATTTACTAT